ATGAATGTGCCGGTCCCGATTTTCTAGACGAGGTTCGTCAAACGATACAGTCCCTAAAGCCTACAGAGTCTTTAAAAGGGTCGCGCAACACAGAGAACATGCCAATTGCACTGGACGCCATTTCCAGTGAGGACGATGAGAACTTTACGCCCGCAGCAGGGCATCAGACGCCGCAGCAGCTGGCAAAGAAGGCAGCACGCAAAAAGCAGACGGAACAGCAGCCGGCATATCGTGCCGCCAATCGTTCACCACCCGCTGGCAGCTCCGATAAGGCAGCCACAGTTGGCGCCAAGGTTGCAGCACCCGTGCAGCTGCCGACGCCCAAGGAGCTATCGCTTCAAGCATCACATATTGCCCAGGAGCGCTACAAGTGGGAGAAGTTTCGCTGTCTGCTGGAGCTGCAGCTAAAGCAGCTGCGCGACGAGACCGAAACGTATGAATCGAATCCGGAGAAGCATCCCGATTATTCCGAAGAGTGGAAACTGTTCTGGAATCGCCGCTACAAGCAGCTGCAGGAAGAGAAGAAATGCGATCCGAATAGCTATGACTACAAGCCCGAATGGATCACCTACTGGAAGGACAGGCGTGTCGAGCTCTTCAACATAGCCGTCAACAAGATCAAAAAGGAGCTCAAGGACAAGTTTAAGCTCGGCGACGAGGACGAAGAAAACACCAAGGAACTAATGGAGCGCTACAAAATACGCGTCAACAGTCCCAAAAACACTGCCGCTCCGGCTGCAGCCTCTGCTGCTGCCGCCACCGCCAATGCTGTGCGTCGCAAGCCCAACTATCGTGGTGCCAACAATCGTACCGGAAATGGCTCGCTTGCCAGCGATGCAGTCATTGATATTAGCGATGACGATCAGCAGGCACCTGCTGCGCCATCGGCACGCCCCAATCGCCGTCCAGCCTATCCGCGCTCTGTGTCGCGCTCCTTGTCGCCCAAACGTGGACGGCCACCGCCGCCCCGCATGGGACGGCGTTCGCGCACTCGCTCGCCGGTGGTCTCCAGGCGCCGGCAGCGATCTCGGTCTAGATCTCGCTCGCCGCACCGGCGCTCACGCTCACCCTACAGCCGGGGTCGGGATAGATCGATGCATTCGCGCGGCCATGACGATTACGCGGAGAGGGGCCGTGAGCGAAGCGGTGATTACTACAGGGAGAGGGGCGACAGTTATTCGCGCTCATCGCGCACCTATGAACCCATGGAGACGTTCCGTGTGTTGGATTCGCGAGTCTATCCGGAGTACAGCCAGCCGAGACAGCGTTCCACATCGCCGGCGGGTACATCAATGTCTGCTGCTAACAAGGATCTGGAATCAATTGAGGAGCCCGAGGGTCCGCTGACCGTGGTCAGTGTGCTGCGCATGCTGTCCGCACTGGAGGATCAGTTGGGCAGTCTGGGCCCCAAGGCGCTCAATTTGCTCAGCAAGGCGCTGGCCATGGAGAAGATCAAACCGAATGCAGCCGATGATTTGCTATTGAACGAGGACAATTGCGTCTTCATGGAGACCACCAAGGAGAAGCTAAAGGGTATACTCATTGCCGAAGTGCTCGATGATCCACAAAAAGTGCGCGTTGTGAAAAAGTTAATCAGCAATATAGCGACCATCATCTTCCAGGTGACCTCCAAAGGTAAGTTTCAGACGATACAAAATCAATCCTTTCATTTTACAGAATCCCAAAGCGTGTCCCAAAGGTCCGAAAGGTAAGCATATTGCTCGTTATCGGCGTGACGGGAGGCGGGGGTGGGCGGGGAAAGGGTCGCTCAGACAGTTAGGCATACTTTTGGGTAAATATTTTTGCCACCAAGGACTGCAAACAAAACATATTCCTGCAGCCAGTCACAATTCTTGGCAAAGGCACAAATATTCAATCCTTGATGCGATCTGTTTGACCTGCTCAACCCTGCTGAACTTTAGTTTATCTGTGCATTCTTCTGCTGCTTCTTCCATTTTTTTTTCCGTTGGTTTGTGTTGTGATTTCGCGCTACCAGGGTTGCCAAACGTTTCGGATTTCGTGCACCAGTTATAACGGAGGGGTTCCAGTATCTTATGTCTAAAACAAATACGGTTCGTGCTTGAAATAGTTTCCATTGCGAAACTTGCTATTGAGGTCTTTGGTTCGTTATCTATAAGAAATATTGTGTTGAACGTACTTTATGCGGTGTATTTTATTCGATTTACGTTGAAATGCCGACTTATCTATCCTTTATCTCGAGCTGTTTCCGATTTATTCTGGTCTTCAGCTTGCATTTAAGAACAACTTTATCACTTTTGCATCGATGAATTACAATTTTTTAAAATATTATTTTTCGCGTTATAATAAGAAAATCGATAAACTCTGCAATTGTATTTTAAATTGTGTCTTATCTATAAAAACTGACTTTTTGACTGACTTATAAAATTTTTGGGTATGTGTACGCATCTCCTCGATAGATTGAGTTGAGAATTTGTTAAGATAAAAGCTATATGAAATCTGAGTAGTAAGTAAGATGTGTGTGTCTTGGTTGTTTTTTTTTTTTAAATCAAAATATGATTTTTGATTTTCTTTCAGATTTGCTTTATATATACATATATATAAAACAATTGTCCATCCTTCAATTGAAAGTCTCTGAAATATTAAATAATTTATTTTGTTAAAAGCTGTTACTCTTTGATTTTGATAGTACATAGAATTTAAAGCAAACGGTTGTATACATTTCATATGCATATATATGCACTATCTGAACTATATACAATCTGTGCCTGTGATCCGTCATTTTTTTTTTTCACTGGTTCTGTGTTTCGGGTGCGTTTTGTGGGCTCTCGGTGCAGTGATACGGTCCGTTTCAGCGTGCTCAGGTTAGTGCTCAAAGTGCCAATAAAAATATTTAAAAAAAAGAAAAACAAAAATAATAAAAAAAACAAAAAACGTATAAACAAAAGAAAAGGAAAAATGTCCTGGTTAAGTGCCCTGTCGCAAACAGCTGGAAGCGTCGCATATGCCGCACCTCCTCCTCTCAACGGCCGCCAAGTTCGAATTGTATGTAATACTTTAGTTGTTCTTTATTTTTTTTTTTTTTTGTATATGCTTTGTGGTTATCGATGCGAACAGATGATTATATGCTTGTATTAATAAACGAATTAATTGTACATTTTGTGTTGCTTCCTCCCTTTTCCACACACACACACACACACACCCCCCAGGTGCTAAGGAGACGGCGCAACAGGAGCCAAAGCACACGGATTTGGCCAAGAAGAAGGAATACCAGCTGCCCTTCGATAGACAGCTCGTTTCCTCAAAACTGGCTGGCGCTTTGGTTATGAATGGCCTGGACAATTTGAGCACCGATGATATGAACAAATTGCTGCACTTCTACACGCTGCTGGTGAAGACGAATCATGTGCGTCGCCAGAGCGACCGAAATAGCGGGCTAAGCTTTGCCGAGGTGCCGAACCGAATGGGCCTGGCGGCGGCCAGCACAAGCAACGACGATGATGGCGGTGTCCTGGACATTGATATCTGTGAGCTTATGAAGGAGGTGGAGCATCAGCTGGCCAAGGAGGCTAGCAACAGCGAGCTGACGCCCAAGTCGAATTCCAACGATGCTGGCAACAGCATGGAATCGCTTACCGATTCCGATCTGCAAACGCTCTTGCAGAACTTTAAGTTTCTGTCCAACGAGGAGCAGGTGCATCTAATTGGACATTTGCGCAAACTGGAGAAACTGGAGCCGCCGCGCGTCGAGCGTTTGCGCAAATATGTTAACATTGCGGAGCTCAGCAGCGATGGTGAGTCCTGCAGCGATTATCTGTCACGTGTCGTCGCCATCGGTCGGCCCGGCCAAAACGAACGCGCGGCCAGCAGCAATACACGCATGTCATACTCAACTGCCGCGGCAGCCGAACTCGTGTCTGCCATGCGACGCAAGAGCGTGGAGCGCGAAATGCCAACAGCGGCCAAGCAACAGCGACGTGGCATTGGGTCGCGCAATTCACCCAACTTTATGCTGGACGATGATGACGATGACGATTACAATTTCGATGATCTGGTGATGAAGGCGAACGATTCCAATGGCAAGAAAACAACAATGCCCAATGTTGTGGCGGCAACAATGTCGCCCAATTCGCTGACCTTTAAGCCGGCGGCGCCAAAGATCTCCCTAAAGGATACAGAGAACATAATTGCCAATCTAATGGGCACGCTGACCAACAACAGCAATCAGGCAAGCAGCGCGGCCAAGGCGCAGCAGCAGCAGCAACAACTCCAGCAGCAGCAGCAGATGCGCAACATGCCCAACCTCGCACAACAGCGCCCACAACAACAACAACAGCAGCAACAACAACAACAGCCGCAGCTGCCGGCACAGCCACAATATGGGCCAAATAATGGAGGCGTCGGTGTCGGCGTCGGCAGCGGCAATGGCAGCTACTATAGCTATGGCGGCGATCAGCTGTCCAGCGGTCCCAGCAACTATCCAAGCATGCCACAACAACAGCCACAACAACCACAACAACAGCAGCAGCAGCCTTACAATATGGGCAATTACAATGCCTATGGTCCGCCCATGGGCGGCGGCGGCGGTGGTTATCCTGGCCAAATCAATCCCTGGGCCAATAACGGACCGCCGCAACCACCGTATAATAATGTGCCCCAGAACTATATGCCCCAACAGCAGCAGCAGCCGCCGCACTACAACAACGTGTACGGCAACCATCAGTAAAAATGGGCAATTTTCTGTATTGCCCGCAGTTTATAATAAATAAAAGAAATGTTAATTCTAAGCAACTCTCTTTAGCTGTAGACAGCATATACAGCGTGTGTTGAATATTTTGATTTGGAGCCGAAATATCTCTATATATTTATATATTATAATAATGTATATTTAATTTTAAAGCACACACAGCCTAGCATCGGATATTTCAAATAAAACCAACATTCTTTTTTTTTTTTATAGAAATACAAATCGCGCAGCAAACATTTGTCTATATGTGCAAAATAAAATAAAATGAACGCAGTTTAATTGGGTTTTAAATAGTTTATTTCTCATTTTTATTGTATTCTTAGCATTAAGTCTTGCTCCGCAGTTTTAATGAGTGTAACCTAAGCCTAACCTACGATAACTTATCCAATGAAATTTGAAAACTCAGATCTTTTCAGTTGTGGCTAGTGTAGGGCAGCATCAGAAAGTTGACGGATTGACCTCGAAACTTCTGACCCATCTCCACTTGCAGTATCTCGTGCAGCGTTTCGCCCGTTTCCTGATCGATCCAATGGCCGGTGCCATGGCCTGGCGGCAGAATGTAATCATAGCGCTTCTGTCCACTAATCGGAGAGCTCAGCCAAATCTGTTTGCTGGGCTTCTGGCGATTGATCACATACATGCCATTCACTGGGCCCAGATCCACGCTGAGCACCCCATCCTGCAAATGCACAAGGTCACAAATTTAGAAGATTCGAAGAATTCGTGTGGATATCTCAAACAAGGCTGCACAAACCCAACAGATAAATATGGTTTGCCTTACGTTTTGAGCCAGAATATGGTTCAAACCTTGGCTACAGACACATATATTTTTTATATTTAAATGAGTTTATTTATAATTGCCCGTTCTAGTGAAAATATTGCATCTACCAAATATGGTTCGGTTGGGGAAACTCTTGGTTTAAGGTTCGGTTCATGGTTAAGATTAAGTTGGCGCCGGTTCGGTTTTGCAGCCTTGATTTAAAGATCCGTCTACTTACGCCATAGACCACATCGTAGTCGGGCAGGTTAACAGCACTGTCGATTAGATCGTCAAAGTAATCGGATAGTGTATCCAATGTCTCGGCGCACGCACGATCGTATGTGGCATCGTCTACGATGTAATCAGCATCGATCGGATTTCCGCAAAAAACGCATATATCCATGTTGTTGTTGTTGTTGTTGTTTCTGCTGCTGCTGGCAAGGGAATCCGCTGGATCGGAAAGATGATAAGGTCCGGCGACACCTCGTTGACAATTACTATTACTTAATGCTTCCTCGACGCGTAGATAGAGACGAATGCGATTCATATCACAAAGGCCGAAATAGTTGTTACTTTTAAAAAATATATAAACATATACTTTTTAGTTCTGCCTTCGACTAGTGCTGAGAGCTAACTGCCCCTATTAGATGCCAGCTGGGCGCAGGCATTGGGCGTCGACTGGACAGTAAAAAATATGCCTACTCTTTGTTTTATTATAGTTTGTAATGATTCAATGATCAGGATTTGGATATGACCATATAGGTTTTGTGCAATTTTCAGTTTTACTCGACTCTGTTCACCTTGTTCACTTGTGGGCGTGGACGCCCCTAAAATCGAGATCATGGAAATATATCAAAGCTGAATTTATCAAATTTAGACAGATCGACTGCTGAGAAATCTCTCTGAAGATCGGAGTCATAGATTTGGGTCTGTTCGATTCAACCGATATGGGTTACAAAACTTATATTGCACATCGTATGACATATATATTGTGTGTATATACATTCCTGATCATATAATTGGAGGGTTGGAAATTCCCGAAAGCTCTGCCCGTTTCTGTGTGGTGGCTGTGAAAGATTGCAGATATGTAATTACAATAAAATGTGCTTAAGCAAAGATAACAATTAGAGGTAAGATTACCTTAGTGGGCGTGACTCGCAGCTGGGCATCCCCATGTCGGGCAGTCTGTCTTCGTTTTGTCGATACCTTACAAGCACTTGACTACATGTAATGAAAATCAGTATAGTTTCGTTTTTTTGCTATACTTTAATTTTTTGTTTTTGTTTATATCATTAACAAATAACATGCTACCCGCCAGCTCGTGTACAATTGCCCACAATGAACAGAGGGAAAATCTAACTAGATAAACTAACTAAAACTGATTGGTGGCAAATTAGGGCAGCTTCAGGAAGTTAACCGGCTGCTCTCTAAAGATTTGGCCTATTTCCTCCTGGAGCATCTCGTGCAACGTCACCCCGGTATGCTTGTAGACCCATCGGCCGTTGACCTCGCCCGGCTGAACAATGTAATCGAACCGTTTGGGTCCGCTAATCGGAGAGCTCAGCCATATCTGTTTGTTGGGCTTTTGGCGATTGATCACATACATGCCATTGGCTGGGCCCAGATTAACGCTGAGCACGCCATCCTGCGAATTGAATAGACGCCAATTGAAGCTTACATAATGCAATCCTTACTAGATACGCACTTACACCATAGGCCACATCGGATCCGGCTATATCTGCAGCATTCTCGGTTAGTTCGTCAAAGTAATCGGATAGTGCATCCAGCGTCTCCGAGCACACACGGTCGTACGTGGTGTCATCAACGACATATTCTGGCTCCGGCAGGTTGCTGCAATATCGGCAAATATGTAATTCCTGTTTGCTGCTGTAGTTGGTGTTGCCCGTTGCGACCTGCATGGCCGAGATATTAAATGGTGCACGTCCTGGCGCACTTCTGTAACCATGTCTGCTCACCGCGGTGCGTAAACATATACGAATTCGATTCATTTTTACTATTTAAAATATACAAATGTTTTGTGCTTCTGCCTCCGACTAGTGTTGAAAGCCAACTGATTGTGTTAGGGGCAGAAGCGACGACTGAGCGGGCGGGCATTGGAACAGCTAGTGTGCTTATCAATAATCAAATGCGCTTTATTTATTAACGCTTAACATTGATACCTCTGCCAAAAAGCATGGTTTTATCCAAAATATTTAAATATTTTAAATTCATTACGTATTTCGTTTGGCCGATGGCACAGCTGTGCTGTTCCGTTCAGAGCCAGTTCAATTGAACGAATCATTGAAACAAACTTGCTGCTGGAAAGAATATGTGTTATGTTTAACAAGCCTACTGTTCAAAATAAATGCTTTATTTACAAGTTAATTAAATATAGCGATTATTAAAACCGGAGCATGTTTACATAATTGCAGTCCAATCATGTTTACAACTGGAAAGTGAAAGGCTGAACGCGTTCATCGAGTTGAACTCAAATTGCCAACGCTAGCCAATGATATGCCGGCGTGTTAACAGCCCTTAGTGCTGCAAAACGTACCAAATACGGCCTGTAAACTATCGAATTGCGATTGTTGTGACGCGTTGGGTGCCATCTCCAATTTTCAGTATAGAGAAAAACCCATCAATGGCGTCCGCGTGAATTTAGCTATATTTTGGTTGTTTTTACTTGATATATATGCAAATTGCAATCCGCACTCAACGTTAAAAATATAACTATTCATTTATGTTACTAAACATGGCGCTGCCCAGCAACTACAAGCAAATCGCCGTTGGGGCACCAACAGGGCCGGCAACTCCGCTTCCCAGCGGCGGTGCTGTTGGCGGCGGCGGCGGTGGCAGTGGGAGTAGTCGGTCGCGTTCATCTGGCGGCGGCGCTGCTGGCGATCGAAATAAGGATCAAACGCCCATATTTACGCACAGCAACTATAGCAATCCGGCGTTTACGCCACAAAAAGTGACCAAATCCTCAAGCAGCAAGACCCAAAGCGAATCGCGTTTGCCAAAGCCACCGAAACCGCCAGAGAAACCCATATTGCCATATATGCGTTACTCGAAGCGTGTGTGGGACAGTGTTAAGGCGCAGCATCCGGAGCTCAAACTATGGGAGCTTGGCAAAAAGATAGGCGTCATGTGGAAGCAGCTTAATGAGGACGAAAGAACCGAATATGTCGACGAGTACGAGGCGGAGAAGCTGGAGTATGAGAAGGCATTGAAGGCATACCATCAGACGCCCGCCTATCAGGCCTACATATCGGCCAAATCGAAAGTCAAACCCGAGGTGGCCGATGTGCACGAGACGCCATCCCGTGGCGGCGGGAGCAAGAGCCAGCACGAGCGTCGCATTGATATACAGCCGGCAGAGGATGAGGATGATCTGGATGAGGGTTACACGGCCAAGCACATGGCATACGCGCGATATCTGCGCAATCATCGCCTTATCAACGAAATATTCTCCGAGGCGGTGGTGCCCGATGTGCGATCCGTGGTTACAACACAGCGTATGCAGGTGCTCAAGCGTCAGGTCAGCTCGCTGACAATGCACCAGACTAAGCTGGAGGCGGAGCTGCAGCAAATGGAGGAGAAGTTCGAGGCAAAAAAGCAGCGTATGCTCGAATCGAGCGATGCCTTCCAGGAGGAGCTCAAGCGGCACTGCAAGCCTGCCGTCGATGAGGACACATTCCAGAAAATGGTGCATCGCATGTACGATGATATCAAGCGCGATCGTCAACGCATTGAGGAGGCGCCCAATCGCAAAGAGGAGCCGCCGCATCAGCAGCCGCAGGCACCACAGCAGCAACCCGCGGCGCCGGAAGCGAGCATTGCGCCCAAACCGGAGCCGGCCAAGCCGCCAGTGGTAGTGGCACCGCAACCGCCGCCACCACACGTACACGAGCTGGCCAGCAAAACGGATCCAGAGCCCATGGACATTGAGCCGCCGCCAAAGCCATCTGTGCCGCCGCCACCGCCGCCTGTGAAGCATGACAAACTGGATCTACCTCCGTTGCCACTGATCGAGCACGCAAAGGAAGCGCTGAAGACGCCACCAACAGCTGCCGCTGTGCCCGGCAAGCCAATTACGCCCACAGCGACGCCCGCGGCAACGCCACCGCCGCCGCCACTAAGCAGTGAGCCGCCAGCTACAACACCCACGCCACCGCCGCCGCAGCAACAACAACAGCATCAACCAGCAGCAGCACCACCACAGCAACCGCCGCCGCAAACAGCAGCGGCAGCAGCAGCTGCAGCTGCGGGAGCACCTCAAATGCATCCGCATGCTCACGTAGGCGGACCGCCGCCGCCAGGCTCACATGCACCACACCTGCCGCCTCACATGGCGCCGCAGCAGCAGCCGCAGCAACAACAACAGCCGCCGCAGCAGCCGCCGCCCGGCGGCATGCCCGGACTGCCGCCGCCATTGCCGCACATGGGCTATGCTAACTATGGTGGCCCTGGGCCGGGCCAGCACTCGCACACGCACTACTATCAACCACAGTACGGGCCGCACTCGCGCCCGCAGCCCTATTATCCACACCTGCCGCCCTATCAGCCATATACGCCGCTGCATTTTGCCAGCGCCAGGGAGCATGGCGGTGTCAATGCGCCCCCAGGTGCGGCACAACAACAGCAGCAACAACAACAGCAGCAGCAGCAACAACAACAACAACAGCAGCCACCACCACCAACACAGCAGCAGCAGCAGCAACCACCACAACAACAACCGCCGCCGCCGCCGCCGGGACATATGCATGAGGGGGCGCCAGTAGCTGGCGCTGTTTATGGTTCAGCTCAGCAACAGGCGCCGCCACAGCCTCATCCGTTGCCACAGCCGCCAACGCAGCCAGCGCCAGCAGCAGGAACGGCAGCGGCGGCGCCACCGTCAGTTGGTGCTGCGCCCACTGCACAGCCGCCGCCGCCCTCTGCAGGTGAATCAGCTGCTAAATCAGACTCGGACAAACACGAAACGGACTAGGACCACAAGGAATTCCACATGTGCAGGAATATCAAGGAATTCCCCTTGTGGACACACTCGCTCCAATATCAAGCACTGCGGTGTGCTCGTTGTTAGACTCGTTAGACTCCACTGACTGCACAGCGCACCGCAATCAAGAAAAACAAAAACAACATCATTTAGTCTTAAGCACAAAAACTATTAAATAATTATATTTTTTACATTTTATTTTTTTTTTTTTTTTTTTTTTGCCTTTTCCCAAATCAATTTTAATTATTTTTGTGTGAGCCTCAGACACGTATTATATTTATGATTAATATACCTTTATAAATATGTGCGAGAATAGATTTTTTAAACAAATTGTATGCAAAATACTATTATATATTTATTGGTAGTCAAATTTCATAATTTTCTTTAAATAGAACAGTGTCTCAGTCAAACCAGGTATTAGTTAAATACAGAGGTTTTCTAAAACTTAAGTTTCAAGTTAATATTCACCAATTCTGTAATTATTAGATTTCAGTTCAAAAAAATTCTGCTAGGCGGCCTAGAAAAAAACATTTCAAAAAGTTAGCAATCGGAATTCCAATATGGCGTGCGTGTAAAGCTAATTATATCGATAACAAAAAGCAACAACTATCGATAGTTAGATTTCATTTGTCGCGCTGCAGTTGACATCGCCGACTTTTGTGTTGTTTTCATTTCGCGACATTTCATTGGCCGAGCAAAGTGCATTTAATGCAATATCTGAGAAACGCAAGGTCGGTGCCCTGTCGTTGGCTACTCGCACGCAATTTATTACTTGTTGCTGCTGCTACTGCCGCTGTCACAAGTCACACGGCCTTTGCCACAACCACTTGCACATCAGCTAGTAGCTCGTTCATCCAAAATCAAAATAACAAAATGAGCGACAAGGCGTGCGATCCAGCTTACGTCGCCGGCACCAGCTCCGTGGCGTTTGTAACCACACCCGACAAAGAGTCGGCAAAGAAACTGGCGCACGGCATCATAGAACGTAAATTGGCGGCCTGTGTGAATATTATACCCCAAATCGAGTCCATCTACATGTGGGAGGGCAAAGTAAACGAGGATAACGAGTATCTCATGATGATAAAGACACGCACCGCCCGCATCGATGAGCTGAGCAAGTTTGTTCGCGAGAACCATCCATATAGCGTGGCCGAAGTAATTTCTCTGCCCATACAGGCTGGAAATCTACCATATCTGAATTGGATAACCCAAACGGTGCCGGAGAAAGTGGAGAGCAAAGACTAATCTGTTATATAAATGCAAATTAAATAAACGATTAAAATCATAATTTGAGCTTTTGCATTCACTTTCGCCGCCATTGGCGTTGGTAAGCGTTGCCAGACTGCTTGCTGCACTTGTGCCACCAATAGATAGGCCCGACTTAGCAGCATGCGCTTTTGTTGCAGCTCAGCTGTGTTCTAAAATAGAGATGGAATGCTATCGATATGCTTTGTTGAATATACACACAATACCAAATTCATCAATACGTTTAAAAGCGGTTGAATGGTGCGTTGCATCAGATATGTAGATATATTTATCACAAAATATTGGAAAAATTGACTGACAGTTATTTAGAAGTTGTTTTACATGTGTTGGTTGGTGTTACGATTCAATTGCGCCAAGAAAAAGATCGACAGCTACAGCAAATAAAAACTATCGGTATTTGCATAATTATATCGATAGTTTGCCACCTCTATTGTAAAACGCGCATGAATCGTTTTGCGCAAACAAAAGAAAATCTTATTAATCGCGTAATAATAGCATGTCCGAAGATGATGCAGGCGTGCATCGCTTGGAGGGCACCATGGTCCAGGAGCAGCGCGGCGGCCTGGTGCTCAAGAGGCCCAAAGACAGCAGCAGTGCCAGCGGGAGCGGGGGCAGCTTCAAAGTTCCGCAGGGCTCGCTGCTGGGCCTGGACAAGCTAGCTGCGAAACGACGCGCTGAAAAGGCGCGTGCCGAGCGCCTGATCTCCTTCCAGGACAGCGAGTACGATGATGGTGGCACGCCCTCAAGCGCACCCAACGCCACGACACCTGCCAGCGAATTCGCCTTTAAGAAACCGGACACTAAGAGCTTCGAGAAGCTGAGTCGACAGCTGCGCGAGCACAAAGACGAGACACCATCGCACACGGGCGGTGTCTCGGATAAGGCCAGAGAACGGCTGCGCGAGCACATCCAACGGGATCGGGACCGGCACAAGGGTGCGGTGCACAAGACGACGCGCGATGACTCAGACAGTAAACGGGATCGCGAGAGGGACAGGGATAGAGAGCGTGAGCGGGATAGACAACGACGCGGCGACGAGCGACGCAAGCGAGCACGGGAACAGGATCAAGAGTCCTACAGAGACGGCAGACGCCGGGATCGAGAACGTGATCGGGATCGTTCTGCGTCGGTGCGCAGCCTGCATACGCCCAGGGAGCCGGGCACACCCGGTGGCACTGGTGGTGTATTAAATAGCTCCTGGGATGATGACGATGCCGAGGGCGGCGGCGGTGGACGCAAATCTGATTGGGATTTCCCAACGCCACGTGGCGCTGGCTCCGGCTACGGCACCGGCGAATGGTCCGATAGAGGCCACAGTCGCGGCCGGAGTTACAATGGGGATGACACAGCGCGCGCAACGCCTGCGCATCGCTATAATCAATGGGCACACGATCGCAAGCGCAGCGGTGCCACGCCCTGGACGGGAGATGCCGAGTCTCGTGATCTGTGGGAGGAGGAGCAGCGACGCCTCGACCGCGAGTGGTATAACATTGACGAGGGCTACGATGACGAGAACAATCCGTTTGGCGGCACCAATGCCGAATACTATAGCCGGCGCGAGGAACAGCTGGAGCAGAAGCGCAAGAAGCGCATCAGCGCCCAGCAGCGACAGAACAACCGGGACAATGAGCTGTGGGAGCGCAATCGGATGCTCACCTCGGGCGTTGTCACCTCGATCAATGTCAGCGACGATTTCGACGAGGAGGCGCTCGAGCGCGTCCATTTGCTGGTGCATCACATAGTGCCACCATTTTTGGACGGACGCATTGTGTTCACCAAGCAGCCGGAGCCGGTGGTGCCAGTCAAAGATCCCACCTCCGATATGGCATTGCTGGCGCGCAAAGGCAGCGCCCTGGTGCGCAATTATCGGGAGCAGAAAGAGCGCCGCAAGGCCCAAAAGAAACACTGGGAGCTGGGCGGCACCAAGCTGGGCAACATAATGGGTGTGCAGCGGCCGCAGGATGACGATGATGCCAAATTCGACAAGGAACACGACACCGCCGACTATCGCAAGGATCAAAAGTTTGCGGATCACATGCGCGACATGCAGGACACCAAAAGCGGCGGCAAAAGCGAATTCTCACGAAAGAAAACCATCGGAGAACAGCGCCGCTTCCTGCCCGTGTTCGCCTCGCGCCAGGAGCTGCTCAATGTCATACGCGAAAACTCGGTGGTCATCATTGTCGGCGAAACGGGCAGCGGCAAGACGACGCAGCTAACCCAATATCTGCACGAGGATGGCTACAGCAAGCGTGGCATGATTGGCTGCACCCAGCCGCGCCGTGTGGCCGCCATGTCTGTGGCGAAGCGCGTCTCCGATGAGATGGACACACAATTGGGTGCGTACTGTGTACAGTGAATACTGCAAATGCGGCGTCTCTTTCTTCAATGATGAACCGAATCGACAGCATAGTCGAGGCATAGTTAATCCTGGTCCCAAAGATATTTTGTTGAGCTTTTATTGCCGTCTTTTTGCTGCATACATTTTCACCCGCATTTCACCCATTTTCCACTCATTAACGTGAACTTCTCGAAGTCTGTAAATCTTTAAAAAATAACTAGAAACCTCTCATAAAATACTTTTCAATTTCCCAAAATCCCGTCACAGTGTTCGCTAACGTCATAAAAATTAACTGTTGGACTCTGTATTGGGTCAACATTCAATCCATCGGTTTGTCAGTACAAAATGCCTTGTCTATAAAACCTAGAGCTGATCTTAGTTACACAATTATCAAAAAATCGGTTCATCATATCGTACGCACACTGTACACTGCATAGATTTAACTAATGTGCATCGCATTTATTGCAGGCGAGGATGTCGGCTATGCCATACGATTCGAGGACTGCACCTCGGAGCGCACCGTCATCAAGTACATGACCGATGGTATTTTATTGCGTGAGAGTCTGCGCGATCCGGACCTGGACAGCTATGCGGCCATTATTATGGATGAGGCGCACGAGCGATCGCTCTCAACGGATGTGCTCTTCGGATTGCTGCGTGAGGTGAGTTTTATGTATGTGGTGTGTTTTATATTTGAACCCTCCCCCCGCCCCCCCCTTCCCCCTTCGCACCACCCACACAAACGTTTAGCACTTTTCTTTATTTATATTTTTGAATTGAATTTTTACCTTAAGTAACTTTTATGTTCGTTATCCGATTGTCGAGATATATTTGTGTACCGAAAATTAATGTCCACAAAATGGTTTTAAATTAAGTAAAAGACAGCTGCTTATTGTGTGGTTGAAAGCTTGTCTTCACGTTGTTTATTGTCTATCAACAATTGCAACCCTGGGCTGCAATTTATTTGGTGGATATGGATTTTCTTTAGAATTCGTAACCTCCGTTATGAAAAGTATCGACAATACACATAATAATATATCAGTGTCAGCTGGAAAAACTTTTAAACTAGTAAATAATGAAAGCAATATTTTTTGTTTCACACATTTTGCTTTTGGAGAAAAAAGCGCTCGTTTATTGGCTTAAATGCTTGCTGCGATATCGTAAGCTTCTCGCTTTGGAAGTTAGAAAGGCGATAGATAGGAGTTCTCAGCTTATTTTTCAATTGATTAAGTTAAACTCTTTTTTAAATTTGTTGTCCGTTTGGTAAACATTTAATAATATCCAAATATAAAGCATTTTACAAACATTTCACATTCAAATTTCACATTGCCAAATGTATATCGTATATTATATATTATATATAAATATTTTAATATTTTAAAAATCGCTTAAGAGACTAAAAACAAAATTACATTATATGTAGGCAAACGTATATATGTGGGCGTGTATGCGTATGTGTGTGTGTGTGTGTGTGTGTGTCGAAGTACAAACTTTTTGCTTGATTACAACGAATATTACGTAACGTTACGTTGCGTAATGCATGAATGTAGTGTGTGGTGAGTTTTTTTGTGTGTGCGCGTGTGTGGTTGATATTTGCTGCGTGTTGCGTATTGCGTGCCTATGTACAGGAATTAAGCACGGCGCACAAAAGTATGCTGCAAACAGTGTTGAGAACGCTGTTTGCTAAATTTCTTTTTTTTTTTCTTTTTTTCTTTTTTTTTTTGTTTAAAGTTTATTTTGTATGTGTTTAGACTGCGCTTATATCGAAGAAACAAGAAGAAATTATAATGCCTGCATAGTATTTATTCCTATTACAAAGTAATAATATATAATAGGTATATTATGATAATTGCTATGATAATACATAATAAAAATAATGATAATAATTATAATAAAAAAAAAAAAAAAAAAAAACAACCAATTGTTAATAAGTCTTTTCGAATTTCACAGTGTGTCTCTCTCTCTGTCAAATATACAAATTTAAATACAATTTGTTTTTGCATATTGTAGCTCAAGTTGCAACAGCAAATGTATTAAAAACAATAGTTGCAAGTAGGTGTGTGTGTGTGTGTGTGTGTGTGTGTGTGTGTGCGTGTGCACGCTGTTGTAGGCCAGTTATTTTTTTGATATATTATTTTAATACTGCCAATTAAAAAGAGTAACATATTAAGAGCCTGCTCTCTCTCTCTCTCTCTCTCTCTGTCTGTCTCTCGCGCTCGCTTCTTCTATATTGTTCATATGTACACATGCATATACACATGTATATATGTATATTGAACATATGTAAATAAATATTTCTGCTGTGTGTGTTGTCGCTTGTCGCTGTTTAAAACATGATCTATCTTATCACAATTTGCTTTGGATTTTGTTTTTTTGTCTTTACTTTCCTTTAGCTAAAGCAATGTGGTATGCATGTGTGTGTTGGTGTGTGTGTGTGTATATGTGCGATAGTGTGTACATATATATGCACTAGAAAAAAAGGTGTGTATTTGTGTTAGTTACTTTGAGTGGGAGTGGTATTTTTGCCTATTATTGAGCACCAGCAACATGCCCGCATTCATGCCAACGTTGCCCCATTTCACGCACTCGGACATCTGCAAGATATAGGGATTACTTGTAAGATTTTGCATTCTGGTAATTAGTCAACGGTTTTATAATTATTGAATTTCGCTTTTTAATTTCTTTTGATCAATTTTGGCTGTGTACCCAGACACTATTTGCTGCTGCTCCAAAATGCAATTAATGATACAAAAAAAAAACAAAAATGAATTGTTAGATCGTTAACATTATAAATTGTTAATATGTGTCTGCTGGCATCGATTCTGCTTTTGTTCAGATCAGCCGAATGCGCGTGCATACATACATACATGATATTCAAATATGGAAATAGAATTGTTTTTCGATTTGACAATTGACCAAAGAACAGTTGTGCGTGCGCGCGCGTGTGTGTGTGTGTGTGTGTGTGTTTTCAAGTCTTTGCTGTTGCAACTACAACAATGTGTGTGTGTGTGTTGGTGTGCGTGTGTGTGTGTGGGTTAATTTTAGTGTGTGGCGGGCATTTGGAATTATACGATATGATGCTACCTATATACAGCTAGAGTATATAGGTCCCGTCGCTTATCAGTTGATCAAATGCAGCAGCACGTGATTCGCACTCGTCGTTACCTGTCGCTTGCGCACATCCTGCTGGCGACTGCCATAACGGCACCAATACACAAAATGCTTGTTGTTGTTCCACAGACTCTGTTTGGCCTTGCGCGCCAGCGACACCTGTTCAGTGTTGATAAACACATACATATGTAATTAGATAAGCATACAAATTTATAAACATTTCCAATCGTACCTGATTGCGTATGTCCTTTTCGTTGTGCGGGGTTTTCTCCTTGTCAGCGAAATTGTTGATGCGCAACTCCCAGCCGTGGCTCCAGATGTCGGCCAATGACATTTTGATCAGCTTATAGGTGCCATTTTCGCGTATTTTCACAGAATATATCTCAATGGTTTCCGGTTTTGGTTTATTGTCTGTCAAACGAACGTATTATAGTATATTATTAACAGTTATATTGACAATCAATCAATTGTCAACAATTCAAAATGACAAGCTCAATTCTCAGGTGCATTCTCATCTCTCAATTGGTTCAACATTTAAATCATTATCTTGTGTTATACAACACTGGCCGTTGAAGTGCGCCGCAATTTAACTATGGTCACACTGCACAAGTAATGCAGGTTTTTTTTTGTTTAAATGCAAGTCATTGGCTTGGCATCTTTATATTTGGGAATATTTTATTTCACAAATGAACGCAATATAATTTATAGCACGACGTGTCAAGATAAAAACAGCCAAGTTTTACAGCCTGAGATACGCATACTCTACGAAATAGAGTACTACTATCAGATAATGCTTTGATTCTTTCACTTCACAGAAAGTCATAATATCTGCAAATTTGAGAAACTTAAAAAGTATAGATTGGAATTTTGAAAATATTTGTATTTCCAGAGCTTACAATTTATCAACACAAAAATGAATTTGAAAAATATTTGAGCCATTTTTTTAAATAGAATTCGATATTTAAAAGTGTTGCAAAACAATTGTAGATTCCAACTTCTAGCTGCTCCAATTTAAGAGTAGTAAAATTTTTGTTATGGGGACAGTTCTAAAGTTTTCTAAAGTTCCTAACTAACTGGTAAGAAATCATTCAATATCTAATTAACTTTTTCATTTTGTACACTTGCATAATGCAGTCATATTATATCATTAGTTGGATACCCTTTATACAAAATGTGCATTGAAAGCATCAGAGCTATAATTTATTGTGTTTGTTTTAGTTGTTGCGCAATTGTTTTTGTTTTATGAATGACATGGGGATTAATCATCTACAATAAACATCGTTGATATTTCACACTTTCGTGCTCCTTTTTTCACTCTTCTGTTTTGCTGTTGTTGTTGTTGATGTTTTGAATGGCGCTAAGCATTTGCCATGCGCAACTAATTTGCACGAATTTTAAATTGTTTACCAAAAGGTGTGGGTGACTTGTGGGGGAGCGGCCGCTTGGGGGACGTGTGGGGGTTATTTTGTGGTTTCGGGTGCATTCTTTTGCTGCTTTACAACACTACTGCTGTCTTGTAAGCCCAGAGGCATCCATGCATAGCACTGAAATGCCGTAAGAAGGGGAAGAATTCATCTTGCAGTGAGCTCATCTACAGATTGCTCATAATCCTTCAATACGTCAATGCTCATTTTGATTTTTCTGTCTTTTGGTTCATTGAACGCATTACAAAGCGGCACCTGTTGGGGCTTTGTGTGTGCTCTGCGATAAGCCTTATTCAAGCGAAACAGATAAGCGCTATATGATTATGACGTCATCGAGGGGCGCTTTATCAACGCTTCTATTTAAATACATCAATTACACCATTCAAATTTGTTAATCGCGAGCGCAGCGATGCTTATCATTGCATCTTTGTCTATGTATACACACATACATACATGTATACACAAATACATATGTATGCATGCATGAAGTTTGTTTGCCCATAAAAGGTGAGCAAACAGTAAAATGCTTCTTATGGGATTCTCATAAGATTTGTCATATCCATCTACATATGTGTGCATGTATGCATGTGTATGTGTGCTTACTCATATCAACTTGTTTCGTCATGTCAGTAACAAAATTCAGGATAACCACCACAAGTCATGCAATTAAATGCAAAAGCTTTCCTGACATAGCAGAAAAACACCCACACATACACCACACTTATTTACACACGAGCGCTTACACCCACCGCAGAATCTGGTGAATTGTTCGCGGCACGAGATGCAACAGTCGCCCTCGCAGTGGTGAATGCCTACGTTTAGCAAGCTTTTGAGGCGAAGAGCAACGCAAAGCACTTGAAAATGCTCACCACGCATCACAAGACTGGGGACTGTTTGCCGCTGTTTGGCCCCAAAAGCAGGCGGACGTGCCGTCGGCACAGAAGCAAAGCAAAGAAGAAACAAAAACGCTGCATGCGTGACTCAAAGCACATGATGCTGCCGCTTATGACAGGCGCGTATTGTCAGCAGTATTTTAAATATTCATCGTGTTGTTTACATTTTGTGTTCGCTCTGCGCACACATACAAATGGAATATTCTGGCAGCTGTCAGCGCAGCATTGTGAATGGTCTCATGTTGGTGCAGCAAGTGTGAGAGAAACATTGTATGCTATGTATGTATGTACGTGTTTGGATGCCAATGTGTGTGTGTATGTGTTTGTGAGTGCGTGCGTGCAAAACGCGACGTCGCAAAGTTCGCTGCCGCTGCGCTGCTGGCGCTTTGTTTTGCTGCCTCTTCAAAACTAAGAAATGTCCATTGTTCTTGTAGGCGGCACTCGACAATGTTGTTGTCTTCGATTAGATAAAAAAGCGCCTTTCTATATAGTATATAGAGCACACATAAATACACACATAAAATATGTACATACATATGCATTCGTACTATGTACATACGATTTGTGCTTTTATTGAATGTCGTTTTGAAATATCAGTATTTGCCGAACTTGTGAGATTAGCTTAATTGCTCTGACGTCTGCAATATGATTAATCATCATCAACGAATAGAAAAACCAATTTTAAAGCACTTCTCTTTTTTTGATCCTTCTATTTGGGTCAAGTACAATACCAAAAGCCAATTAAATGGGCCATAAGAATTGAGAAATGAAAAGAATTGTATATTCGCATTCAGGTTCTTGTGAGAGCTATTTACACAATGGAACGAACCGTTTGATATGTGAGCTGTGCACGCTACGAAAACAGTTTGACGCGAGCTTTTTCTCTCATTTGTCGCTTCATGCATTCGGTACTCACCTTTGGCCACCTTGCAGAGTACGATGCCGTACCATGACGCTACCGGCGTCTCGTTCTCATCCTGCGCTTCGAGAAAGCTTATGCTGCTGCTGCCGTTACGGGGTATAATCAGTGGCGGCGCCAATGTCAGGGGCGGGCAATCGATGTCCAGGGAATCGGCATCATTGGCAGAGGCCGCTGCGGCGGCAGCCGCGGCTGCAACGGCAGCGGCTTCGGCAGCGGCACTGCTGCGCACCTCCACAATGAAGCCGCACTCGACGACAGCGCAGAAAATTCTCTGCTCTTCGGGCTTGAACCATTTGGATTCGCGCAGCTTTTGTACGGCGACGCTGCTGCCAAATGTGGCGTTCACATTGGCGCCGACGCTGAGCTTGTGCTGCTGCAGCGACGGCGGCCAATTGGATGTGGGAGAGCTGGGCGCCGACTGTGAGTAGCCGTTCGATGGCGCTGCTGGCGCTGGCGTTGCCTGATTGTTGTGGCCCTGCAGTGGCCACCATTTCAGTGAGCTGACAAAACTGTTTGATCGGTTCATTGTGTGGGCGTTTTTGGCGGTATGGGCGTGGCCTGTGTCGTTGCACACGCGCGCGTAACTTTCACTAATTCACACTTGCAGTGCGCGCGCGTTTTTCTCTTCCCCTTTTTCTTTCTTTTTTTTATATTATATTTTTTTTTCTTCTAAGACGTTTCTCGTTTGTTTTGTATACGCCCGCTTATCGTTGTTTTGCCTCAGGCCTATTGTTCCAATTAGAATTTCCTTTGATTTTGTTTTGCCTTTATACAAGGGGCAACAAGAATAAAAAATAGAGCACAAGTGCTTTGCACTAGAGTTAATCAAAATGCTGCCTGCAGTTAAATAAAAATTAAAATGCGCAAATAGGAGCACAAATTTGTGTTTCAATTCAATTAAAACAACAATGTAAAAAAATCGTCTGTGCCCGAGTGCCTGTAAATTTTCTTGCTTATGTTTTGTTTGGTTTGGTCTGGTCTTTTTTTTTTTTTTTTTTTTGTATTTTCTTTTCACAGCGGTTTCTTCGGTTTCGGTATGTTCGTGTTTTTCGCTGAACGCCGTTTGTTGCTTTTGTGTTTTGCTCGCTTCTGCTGTTGCTGCTACTGCACCGCTAGAGACTCGAAAGCCAAATACCAGCATGGCAAAGGTTTATTTATAACCAAAGCCGGTTTCGGTTTGTCAGCCAGCCAACGAGTCGTCGGCTGCGTCGTCGTCTTTGTCGTCGGCAGAGTTCTCTCTGTGTGGTGGTTTTTGCACGCTCTCGCTCTCACTCTCTCTCTCTCTTTGGTGTGGTGAGTTATGAAGCTGCCGTTGTACCCCTGTTACGGCTACGGGCTTGTTGCACGTTCCGTTAGGCTTTGTGCCTTATGCTGTGATACTTAGTGCTTGTTGTTGTTAAAATTGTTTTGTATTTTTGTTATTTATCGTTTTAATTGTTGGGATATCAATTTGATTATGTGCTTATCGCATGCATGCAGTTACTAAATCGCTCACCTGACGTCGCAGTCGCCGTCAACAATGTCAATCGTGACTGCGACGCTGACAGCGACTTCAGTGGCTGTCTGACCTTCTTTTTTATTCTTATAAGAAATATGTACGTATGTATGTATTGTTGAAATTTTTTGTTAACGGCGTAGTTTTTGTTGTTATTTTTCCAATTGTCTCCGCGCCCGTCGCGCAGTAAACAACAAAATGCTTAATATATAGCCCTGCACGTATGTACATATATACATTCTATGTATGTATGTGTGGATAAAAATACATACATACATACGTCAAGCGGGTCTGATGGCCCCGAAAATCAAGCTAAAAATGATTGATTTGGTTTATGGTGGGAAATATGATGATTTTATTGAATTGCCAATTGTTGATAATTTCGATTACAAATATTTGTTATTATTGATTAATATAATAAAACACACAATAACAAGCACGCATACATACACGATATAGTACACATGTATTCGCGGAAGCTTTCAACCCATTCGTCCTTTTTAATGCAAGGGGTCGGGGAGGGGGGTGTCATGAAAACGTTGTATGTATTTGTGATATGAGTGATCGGTCGGAAATTAAGTTCCTGCATTATTACCCTATTTTATTTTGAAAATATATTGAATAGTCTCACTAAGATTTCCTTTGTTTCAGCTTTATTTATTTATTTGCAATTAATATTATGACTTACTTTAAAAAAGTCTGTTTGTTTTTTAATATTTAAATATGCATTTACTAAACTTTCTTATGCTATAAGCATTTGGGCACATACATACATATTTAACCAAGTTCGACCACTGTAACATGGCTGCCATTGGATTTATTTGTATGCAAGGGTATTTAGTCTTCGGCAAGCAACATTTTTTGTAGTTTTTTTTTTTTTTAGATGCGCTCGTTAATGTGCTTAGCGGCAGATTGACACATGCCAATACACACATACACAAGCATATGCCTGTACCTACATACATATATGTGTGTATTTGAGTACTCAAGTGCAGAGTGCAAACTTGCGAAAATCTTAAGAACATGCGAAATTTGTGTCCAAAGCTGAGTTGGTTGTGAGGACGGGGAGGGGGGGGGGGGGGGGAGGTGCGTTGTTAAGTTCATATGCAACCTAAAATTCTTGACATGCTCCTAAAATGTCTACAAGTGCAATACACATTGTACATACATACATACATAAGTGCCCAACTTCCCCTTTCCAATTCTCATCTGGCTGAAACTTTCCACACTGTGCACTCTCTAGAAGCTCTCAGATGAGCACTATTTTCTTGTATATAGTAGCACATACTTGAACGTCAAGCCTTAAGGGCTTGGGCATTTGTCATTGGTTATCCATAATCACATTATCAGTGAGGAGGCCATAGAAGGCGTTAAATGCACGATTTGTTGTGCCCAGCCCTTTGGGCGCAGATCAATATAGTCGCCCAAAAGGCCAGACACTGAAGGGTCGAGCGTTAGCCAACACTGAGAAACAGTTTGATTTTCTGGTTTTATCAGCGACGACTGTTTCAAGGCACGTAAAGCTTTTCGCTGTGACGTCGCAGCTTTCGTTACGTGCTGCGCGCGCGTGTGTGTGTGTGTGTCTGTGTCTGTGTCTCTGGCTGTGTCTGTGTCTGTGTCTCTGGCTGTCTGGCTGAGTGTGTGTATGTGTGTGTGCGTTTCTGAAATGAATTCCGTTTGTTTTGGGGCATCGCACACGACAATTAATTTGACCTATTAAGTTGCCAAAGCTTAAAACTGGGCCAAGTAGCGGCAACTGCGACGCCAACTGCAACGTCGATGCTGACGCTGCCACGTTTATTTTTTATTTTATTTTTTTCATTTTATTTAATTTTTCTTTTACTTTATTTTTATTTCGTTTTCAAGTTTTTCATTTCATTTACCCTTACCAGGGCCATTACAGCTAAATCACATTGTTTGTCATGCGAAGTGAAAATAATTGAAAACATAATAAAAATAAACAAATTTTGAATGGAGTATTTCTATAAATATTACTATTGAACGAATTTCGATAGGTTTTTGAGGTTAAATTCAAGGCTGTTAAAAATTATTTAAAAAATGGCCGTTAAAATTAGAAAATAAAACAGATTCAAGTACTAGAAAGATTTATAATTATGTTTTTCGGGGCATTAATTTTGAAAATTATTAAGATAAACAGGTTATGAATATAGAATCTGGAAACTTTGGACCTCCATTGATGAGTTTCAATAGATGTTTGAATTTAAATCCAAAACTGTTGAAAATGAATTTAGAAAATGGTTCTGGAAATTAGAAAAAGAAGGAAAAGTTCAATTGTCGAGCGACAACTGAATTTTATAATTCCTATTTTAACTTGGAACTCATATTTAACTTGTTTATACATAATATTTATATATAATAATATATAAATATATATTTGAAATATGTTATTGAAAAACATCGCAAAGAGTATTAAGGCTGCTGCGAGTCCAGTCAAGCGCTTCTTTCTTGATATCGTTTCAGGTTTTTCATTTATTCGAGTATTTTACAGTCGTCGTCGTCGTTTTTGTTGTTGTTGCTATAAATACCCGCAGCTCTGCAACTTGTTGTTGTTGTTGTTGCCGCTGTTTGCCATGTTATTCTCCATATCTATTTTTAGTTTAACCTTGCCGACAGTTGGGGAGCATGTCAAGGTGCGGGCCGTCGACGGGGCGGGCAGCGGAACGTGGTATATCATGATCATGCCGTGTCGCATTTTTCGCTGCCAATTGACTGTTGCGGCGCTCAGTTGAACTGCGTTTAATTAGCTGCCCAGTTCCAGCTTTTCTGCGCTCTCCCACTCTCTCTCTCTCTCTCTCTCTCTCTCTCTCTCTCTCTCTCTCTCTCAGCACCCTCTTGCACCCTCCCCTTCCCCTCACGCCATCGCTATTCCAGCAACTCGCATTCGCAATTGTTTTTCTAATTACAAGTACTGCACTTAAAATACCCTTGCAAGGGGCTAATCTATTTTGTCATGAAATATGTAACGCCTATGCGTCATTTAATGTGATTCGATGTATATATGTGTATATACATTCGTGATCAGCATCACCCAGATATTATCCAAGGCTAATCCAGATCGGACTACTATAACATATAGCTCAATAGTAGAAGCGGTCGAATTATATCTTAGCCAAAATCAGCAATTACGAGCTTCACTGTGATCTTAACATATAGCTCAATAGAAAGAATTGGTGGAAAAGTCTGTTTTTATATACATAACTGTTCCGCCTTTCAAATTTGATTAACCGAACTTTACTTAAATCTTATCTTCTGTTCGAACTACATATGTAACAAAGTGTCAGTTCCTCTATCGTTTCTTCCGAGAAAGAGTATTTCAACTTCGGCATGGTGTTCTCCCTGTTTTTTCTGTGTGTAATTGTAGTTTGATTCACAAATTGCGCAATCAAACGGAAAGCGTCGCGCGTCCCTTGTCGCAAGTGGCACGAATGAATATGCGTAGGTCAGTGTTCAAAAGCGGCAAAATCAGCGTTGATTTGACCGCTTGTACACACACACACACACATATGTACATGTATATACTTATATGTTTGCACAGAAACTTAAACAAACATAAAAGAATACCCTTGCCTTGCTATCAACTGGCTACCATATCCGCTCTCTTTTCGATTTGTTTTCAAAAGATCTTCGTAGAAAGGGAATAATGATGTTTTTCACACTTTTCGTAATATCCACGCCCTGTGCCGAAAATGAGCATCCAGATTGTAATTTATATTGCTGATAATTCACATTTTAACACATTTTGTTTTTGGAAAGCTCTACACGAAAACTAATTGAATGCATGTTTTATCGATTTACGCTTAATTGTTACAGTAAAGTTTTACGATCGAGCCGTTTCCGACACACATATCTGTTATATGGATATTTATAGCATATTTATAGCTTAATATAACTCCATAACGAAACTCTTAGATTAGTTTGCATATATGTACATAAACAGTGAAACTTATCATGCTGACCAAGAATATATATGTATTTATGATCTATATAAATATTGCGCTTAATAGCTTTGACATACACCTACGCCTATTTACATATACTCATTTCCATAATATGGTACACTCCACAAGTATATCATAGCAAAAAAATGCACAAGATATTTGATATGCGCATACCCTTGCCAAATGCTGAGCATAACAGCTAAGCTATTTGGCCAAATTGTTGTTGCATTTAAACTAGAAATTGTATTACATAAATTTAGCTTTTTAATCCCAGACATTATCTACAGTTAAAATCGTCATTTGCAATCATCTAAAGGCACCTCAAATATTCGGTTTATACAATTTTTATTATTTCTCTCTTTTTTAAATACTTTTGCATATATTATTTACAAGCTAATAAATAGAACATATGAATATTATGTACAAATACCAATTAACATATGAAGTAGGTATACTCCAGTTTTCAAGTTGCGGTAAGAGTATACAAATTTCTTTATGTATTCTCTTTAGTGCATCTCTTCCAGTTGCGAGCTTGCATTGTTTATCTTTATATGCATGTATGTACGTATGTACGCAAGTATGTACATATGTATATCATCTATATACATATGCACATATAAGTATATTTATTTACCGTTTCTTTTATGAACTGTGCCTGCCGCTGCACGCCTCTCTCGCT